CTCATATTATATTCGTAAACTAATTACCTACTATGTGGGTGTAGGTGCACCGTGTGAAAATTTCTCACGTAGGAAAAGAAACTTTTTAGCAATAAACCCAGCTGCTGTGACTCACACTAAGGTATCCAAATTAGGTAACTGACTGAAGAATGCGGGAATGTTTTGTAAACACATTTCGGCAACTTCGATGCAAACTGAATGCTAAACGTCAACCATTTCCATTGCTGTTTATTCACTCTGACACAAAAGCAACAAATTGAAAGCCATCAACATATTTACTTCAGGTTAGATAACTCTACTTACCGATCACCTAATCTTTTAGGTCCAACGTTAAACTTATTGTTTTTCAAACAGTTTGATATCTCCATAGAGTCAAGAAACAAAAATCTGTCAGGAAAGGATCACTCTTTTCAGCGATATCATCTCCAGATATAATGCTTAATTGACAACAGAGAGAGAACGCTTCATAATATGTTAGAAAATTCAATTTTGACTAAACATTAAGGGATCAGAATAAGGATTATGGAGTGTGTGAAATCGTTACTAATCGGAAATTTGTGGGGATTTATTTATTGATTTCAGCTTGGCATTAGATATGGACTGACATCAGTTGGAGAAATGTCAGAAACGTGAAAGCACTGAATAGCTTTCCCGTCTTAGTATGGGACATCTGGGCAGTGAGCAACCATATCTTCGCAACGTATTAAACCCAGGAACTTCAGGTTCCACAACCAGCAGGTTACCACTGGGCCACTGGGCTCGATCCGTAGTAAAATCATTAGTGCGCACTGCTGAAGAGTCCCACAGCCTTCCTGTGCCCCCAGGTTCCCAAAGTTTCTGCAACTGATGTCAGTTCATGATGAATGCGACCTGAAATCAGTAAGCAAATTTCCACAGACTTTCAAATTGAATTAATCTAGTGCTGATTGTGACTATCTCCGAAAGGTGATTCCCGAAGTTCCAATGAGAAGTCGTGACCAGTGGAGCCAACCAAGTTGAACATGAGGACAGTTACCCAACGGCGACATTAGATGCAGGTCATGCTACATCCTGAACTGACAGAAGTAGAAAATATGAACCGCTGGATTCTGACTTAGTGGCTCAATGGCAACGTGCTGGCCGCAAAACCTGAATGTCCTGGATTCGACCCAAATAGTTATCAGAAAAAGATAAGCAGAAACCAAAGTTGTAAATAGTAACTTTCCACTGTGTGTTTTGTATGAACACTTTTAACATTTCAGCATTATCTATTCCATGGACTGATTAAAATTACATATTTCAGTGTTATACTTCACTATGACCTTAGACGCTTAACCCGGTAAGAATTCTCCGCTCCTTTCCAACACTAAGGGCGTAGTATTATAACTTCATCTAATCTCATATATACATAAATCAGCAGCTTACTTAAGACATTAAACAATCGATCATGTTATACAGTTAGTTTTATACGACTGCTGTATTAGTGTTAAGTTCACTAGGAAGTTTTTCCTTTACATGACTATAAATCACTGGATGTATGAATGAAGGAAATAAATGGACCTGGAGTTTGTGTACACTTGACCTTATATGAAGATTTCCTGATGAATGCTTAGAGTGTGGGGAAATCAAGGCAAAGTAAGATTTCTGCGAAGAGAATTTCATGTGATTCATCGAAAGTAGAGTTTTCAATAAACATGTTAGGTCAAGGTTAGTTCACTGGTGTGTGCGTCAGGTTTTGCTGACGGACTTTTCTATATTACTACGGCCTCATATAACAGTGCAACAGATAGTTCATATGAAGGATGGAATTTTTATTCCGAGTGAATCAACTAGTGCTTATACTTACAAGCATCCAGTTCATGCTTGAAGTAGATGTTAGTCAGCCACTGACCATCATCTGTTTAAAAAGATTGAAATATTGTTTATTTAAAACATGAGATAAGGTTACAGAAAGCAAAACGCGCCTCCTGAATTCCACTACTACCCACAACCAGTTAAATTAAAACAATGGGCATTCACGCAATGTTAAGGCAATTGTATAGAAGTCCATTTGCCAACAAAGGTTGATCATTTCGACCTAGTATTACAACAGGGAATTAAAGCATCAACAAGTAATAATAACTAATATCTGTTGCATGAAAGGTGGATTTTGCGCTTAACTAGCCTAATGAATAGCGCTCTAGCGTTTGTAGCGATGGATACGGAGTTCGAGTGTCAGTCGGGACAACATCACTCACTGGGGTAGAGGTACATCTGGCTGATGAGTCCTAAATAGGACGAAATTGGCATCATAGATTGCACTGCTAGCCACCACCAGGTAAAATATATTTTTATTTTCCTATACAATATTTATTTAATTAATGCATGCCAAATTTATCGTCGAAGAATTGAAAGTCTACATGAATCAACAGTATTCTATGAGAAAGATTCTATTCACACTATAATTATGAAGTCAAACTGCTTATCATAACCAACGTCGCATTTTCAAAAATGCACTTTTAAAATAGATTGAGTCCGAGGCCGATAATGGATTAATCTAAGTTTATCAGTTATTGATGAGATGTACATTGTGTACCGTAGTAAACTGAGTGTGACTCATGAGTAAAGGCTCTGCATGGTGGATTGACACCAGGGAGGGAACCAATGAAAACCTGGGGGCGATAAGCAGCTGTTTCGTCCTAGTATAGGACTCCTTAAGAGCGCATCGTAATGACTATAAGGAGTTGAAAAAAAGGACCGTTGTGTCTTGTTGTGAGAAAGATATCAATCAATCACTGGTCTGAAATCCAATAGCCCGTACCTTCTATCTTCAATCCAATCCCTACAAATCTACAAAGTAAATAATTGTGAATCGTAATAAATGTAAGCGAGTGGAGAAGCAGAGAATAATAAATGGAAATATGGTTAACTTCATACGCAAATTTTTTGCTGACATCGTCTTCTGACTCACTATATGGAACTTTCTTAGATTCCAATTCAGGGAATGGTTAAAAGTTGTTTTTTGTTTATTATCAAGACTTTCGAAATTGACAAAATATGCTTACTCTGAAAGCCTGTCAGTGTGAATTAGTAAACAATTCTTTCCCCATTATGCGATTTCCATATCGAGATTCGGTTCACAGACTGTATAAATGTAAGACTTAGATTATGCTTTATGAAAGCTTGAAATTATTCTTTGTAGTGCTTTCTGTATCCAGCGTTTACGTATTCAAAATTTAAAATATTTATGAGGCTTTCTCGTGAATATGTATAAATTTATGATATGCAAAGAAGATTGAATGTACAACGTTGCGGTCACCTGTCAGTCTGCCGAGAAACGTTATGATGCATTCAGTAAAACATATGAATGCAGCGACAGTATCTTTCTAGGTATATCTGCCACATTATCTACCTTGAACTCAAGGTTCAATGTTCAGTGTAAACCTGCTGAGTAATTCAATATCTATTTCTTTCCATACTTTGACTAGGAGCTCCATAAGCTATCCTATCACTGGAAAGTCTAGTAACTATGTGTACCCACAAAGTCTGAGGCAAAGTCTTTCTAGATGTCGGCTACATAGAACATTTGACGTCTTCACTTACATTTTAACACTAAGCTTAAACTGTTTTTGGTAATGTATATACCGACATTTGTACCATATCTTTTCTCTTCTGGTTAAAAGGAGGATTATATACTATGTATTGGAAGTTCTTTAGGCTTGTACTACATAGTCTACTCAGTATTAAATTCAGCTTTCAGTTTGAGCTATTGCAACCGTTTCCACAAATCTGTTATATGCATACCAAGAGGAGAAGTTAATATCATGAAACCAACTGCGATACTTAGTAGCTATCTGAAGAGGTACTGAGTCCTCTTCAGTCATTCATTTAGGAGAAAATTAGAGTAACAATCCAATCTCGGGATTGAGGAGAAATAATAGTCAGTTTCTGTTGAGTCACTTGCTACCATTTTTTTGAATATATATAGCACTAATGAGAGTCATCAAATATGAGAGTGAAGAAGTATGCACAGACCCCTTACAAACTCATTAATGTAGGAATAAAACGTGGGTGCTGTGGTACAGTAGAATTCCATATTAGATCGTGTATTTCACGTAGTACATAATAATACAGTACTATTTATTGAATGGCGTTTCAGGAAGAATTAACTACTCGAAACCTCATCCTGTGAATAATACTGTATCACTGTTTACGATATTAAATAAACAATCTAATTTGGAAGTATTATACCTGACCTGCTTTCCTTTTCAGTAAAGCAAGCATTATTTTATGACTATATTAAAAGATTATCACTTTCAATTTTACGGAAATCCATTTTTTTCATTAATTTAGAAAATCCTGTGATCTGTGTAGATGCCAACGCCAATTTCAAGAGGGAAGTCAATGAACACTATGAAAAGAAGTTATTCGTTCGTTTACAAAAGTGAACCACACTAGAACATAGTAGAATCTTTTGCGAAATCATACAGAAACCAGCTCAAGACAGATGCTGTGTGACCCAGCTTTACTTAGCAATGGACAACCATGCAAAACACAGTTATCCAGCTACCATTACGGTCATTCACACTTTAAATATTAACCTATTCTTAAAAACTGTTGGTTAAACAAACAAGGTAGGTGTAACTTTTCAGTGGAATATTTAATCAGCCAACTACACACTCAATAATATTCAAACGAACAGTACGTCCACAACTTGAAATATCCATTCGTTTTTTTCTAATAAAAATTATTAGCGCTATTGGATAGGCTAATTCTTTTTAACCAATCAGAGTCAAGAAAGTACTTCAATCCTGTGTACAGGTAATTCCAATAATTATCATCCAGGTTATTTACGCATAGTTTAGTGTACTTCACTTATTTGTTGTCAAAATCTATCTCGGATATTGTTAGATTAATTCTCAAAAACTAATTTTTCAAGAAGCTATTTAGTCACCTTTCAAGTGGACAAACTCTGTCAATGAAGTATGATAAAGTCAACTATCTCTACTGCAGCTAGGTGCAAACATCTTTTGTGACAGCTGATGATGAAGAGAAAATTTTCTGCTACATTCAGACTAGTCATTATAAATGCTATTATTTTAATTCAGCATTTCATTCCGAATTCTTATGGGATCTACCAACCACGAAACAGTATTAATCAAAACTCAAATCTACAGTTTTTTGATCACATCAAGCGACCTGTGTATTTAAGCGACAAACATTTGCCCCAAAATGTGATCACAAGAAAACTTAGAGATGCTGTACAATCTATGTTTTCAAGTGATTCAAAAGAGATGGATATCCCAGAACACTTAAAAACCCTTATTGAGTCTAGTCAAAATGCAAATGCACTAAATGGAGTTTATCCAAGTGGAGAAGTAGGTGAACAACAGGGGGAGGTCGATGAAGGCGCGGATGATGTAAGTCACTGTGTTCCGATTCATGAGCCCATTTGTCATGGTCTCCAATACACGCACACGTGGCTGCCTAATTCAGTTGGCCTGACAACTCAAGAAGAGGCAGCAAAACGTATGAATGACTATCGTTCTCTCATAAATGTAGGCTGTTCACAGTATCTGAAATTTTTTCTGTGTACTATCTATTTTCCAATGTGTACTCCAGCACTGAATCCACCGGCTGCTTTACAACCATGTCAGAATTTATGTCGTTATGTCCAGTCTAAGTGTGAACCAATTATGAAAAGTTTTAGCTTCCCATGGCCAATTGAACTGAACTGCAAGTCACTACCCTCAGATTCAGGAATGTGTATTCAACCACAAAATTATGATTTAGATAAACAAGGACAAATTATAAGTCAGGAATTCCATCTGAAGCCCATGGAGCTATTGCTGAATTGTTGCCCGATTTTAGTGAATTTTTAGCACATCAAAGCGCACAGAACCAACACACGAGTACACAGAATAATCAGACTGCTAATAATCATATGAAGTCCCCTCCAATAGATGACAGCCAGTCCGAACTGAAGAATTATAATCTGCTTCAGAAATTTAGATCACAAGCATCAAAATGCAGTATTGTTTGAAATACCTCTGTATTTAGAACAAGCTCACGACAATATAACATGTGCTCGTCGGTGTAATGCGCATCTGTTTTTACAAACCAATCGAGAAACGTTTCGCCAATATCTGGATGTTAGTTTGGGCAATACTATGCATGGCATCCTGTATGGTGACTCTTGTCACCTTCATGTTAAATCGTACACGATTCGCATATCCAGAACGACCGATTATTTATATATCAGCATGCTACTTCTTCTACTCTGTTGGATTTATTCTACAAGCTCTGATAGGACGTGATATGGTAGCATGTAGGAACAAAGTGGAACTATCTCACCATCTCTATTAGCCAGTGGAGTAACACATGGAGTACGAAGAAAATTCTTAGAAACATTGCCCAATCGAAAAGCAATATTAGTTTTCTAATAACTTCTGGACATGAAGGTACATGGTGTACTATTGTATTTCTCATCCTGTACTACTTTAGTCAAGCTAGCTATATATGGTGGGTTATGCTAGCCATTGCGTGGTTTTTGTCGCTTCTTGTAAATGGGGTTGTGAAGGTATAGAGGCTGTTAGCAGCATCCTTCATATGCTTGCATGGGCACTGCCTGCACTGAAAACCATCATCATACTAATCATGCATCGCATCGATGCAGATGAATTAACTGGACTATGCCTAGTTGGTTATCAAAATTCTACAAGTCTGCTAATATTTATATTATTACCGCAAGTTATCTACCTACTATTGGGTGTTTTATTTTTGCTAGTTGGCTTTTATTCACTGATTTCTGTTCGGTCCATTTGAAACAGCATGTAAAATATCGCATGAGCACAGCCAAAACGATGGCAGCTACGACGACGAGCTATTATGGTCAACAGCTTAAAGGAAACATGTCTGCAACAACATCAGCATTGGCAGCCTCAAATGCAGCACCTTCTGCAACAAACGCATCCAGTCCAGTCATCGCCATCAGCAATGGCAATATAAGACGTCTAGATAAACTAATGATAAAAATTTGCATATTCTCTATGTTGTATATTATACCAAATGTCTGTGTTATAGGTGTGAATATATTCAATTATATTAATTATCCAAAGTGGATAAAAACCCTGGATCATTTAGGTAAACAAACAAGTTGTCTAACAGAATATGGTACAACTTGGCCATTAATCCACCAATGCCTAGGTGACAATCAGTTTTCCATCTGTTGAAGCTAACATGCTACAAATATTTATGTCACTAGTTGTTGGCATCACTTCAGGTATGTGGGTATGGTGTAACAGAAAGTCATCAGAAACATGGTTGAAATGTATGAAAGGGAAGCGAAAAGATCTCTCTCAAAATAATTTGAATTATCATCACCCTTACTGTGGAGATGCATTTGGTGCAGGAGGTGTGGTGGATAATAGCAACCACCGATCGAAAGTCGATCCAAAAGTACAATCAATAAATGCGGCCTGTTGTACTTCTAGAGGGAGATGTGGAGTAAACAGTCACTATACAGGTAAGCGTTTTTGAAATTTATTTAAGGTTCAGGCAAATATAACGTTTGGTGGAATAATATAAACTCTAAACTAAATTTTTGTCTCTGGACTTGTATCGTGATTAACTCTGGTCAGTAATGATAGGTCATCACATAAAACTATTGACATAAAGCTAATCAATGTTATCATGCAGGACCCCATTTATTTCCCCATAACTTCCACTGATGACTTACATTTTCAAGAATGAAGGTTTCCAGTCAAGCAGAATGCTTATCTTACTCGTCATTCCTAAGCTGTCTATTGAAGATATTAACCCCATGACATCGGAAGACATTCAGTGACTTGTTAACCATCAAACTAATCCTCAGTGATCTAAGTTTTTTGAGATAACAGTAGTTCGAGTACGATTATAAGTATGCTAAATTATTGAGTTTTATAACACCGCGAAGCTACTTCTCGCGTTACCTGCAATGATATGAATAGATTATGGTGTGGTTTTACGGTGAAAAAATGTATTTAGTAATATATCAAATAAGCACATTGAAATAGGAGTTCATACGCTGAAACAAAAAGTGACGAAAAAGTTATATCATCAGTTATCGAAAGATTTAAAAAGTAGATAGATTAAGACAGATAAATACAACTATTAGATGCATCTGGCTTATCATGACTTTTTCTGAATCTTATCCTCTGGTTTTCCTCAGAGTTGAATAATACTTTTGCATTTGTCTCAGTCAAGCAGTTAGAGTTTTCGTGAATTGCTGACTTATCAAAAGGCTTGACATTAGTACTCTTCTTCTGAAGCAATCAAGATTCAATTGGCTTTCTGCTGTGAAGTAGACTGTTTTTGAACATTCGTGATGCTTACGCTAGTTAGTCCAAAAGATGAAGATAAACAGCATTATCAAATGACTTACCACAAGACCTATGACTGCACGCCTAACCCAATACGTTGCTGATGTAATTCCTCCATCATATACAGTGTTAATACATACAATCATATTGCTAGTTAGATACCTGAAGTCTTAACAAATTCCAGACTTGCAACCATTATGATAAGACTCAGAACGCTACTGGGAAATAAACTCAAACTTGAATAGACAACAGAACGTCTTGGCTGATCCAAAATGATTCAGATCAATCATAAACCAGTGGGTTTTGCCACAGTGCATCCTTATAGTTTCATTGTCTTAAAATAATTTGCTGAAATCAATTGAACCCTTCTGAACTTATTCCTAGAGTTACCTACAGTAGATAGCAGATGGTGCAAAGATGAGTATGTGCATTTCGCTCCGCAGACCACAACTAAACTTCTGCTGGTCTTTCTTTTATTACTTTTACGAATCCATTTAAGTATAGATAAGCGTACAGTCAGTATTTAAGAAGCGGCAATTTTCAATGAATCACCACCGATCATAACTGATTTAAGTTTCATTAATCTGCGTTCATTATTAAGTCCAGTGAACGTTACGCCAGATTACACTTCTAATTTGAAGGCAACTTATGATTCCTGGGGAAAATGGTTAGTTGGGCATATTTATTCCGAAAAATCACTATTATTGATTAATCTAATCAAAATTTTGGGAGTTCTTATTAGTCACTATTCTTGGTATCTAGGTCTTCGTGACTAGACTTTGTATTTGTCCACTACGATGACCAAATGAGGTTCTGTAACTTTTGCAGAAGTTTAGCAGTCCATTATAGGATTTATCCTTCACTTCATCTAAATTTCACTCATTAAATGCACAGTCAAAGACTTCAGATATGTACCGAGGTCATTCTTTGTTCTTACTGTAGCACTCAGTTGTACAGCCCAAAACAGTCTGTCAACGAAAATACATCCAAAAAGTGGGTCTTCTGATTTAAGACCAAATAAGTCACTTACATCCTTAGTAGGGACTGACTGTCAAGTTTTCAGATATATAATTTATCGTTCGTACAGGGTTACCATTGTAGTCAAGTAATTTCGAGTGAAAACTACAATGAATCTTTTTTGCGTATCTCAAAAACAGTGATAACCAAACATGTCACAATGTTTATTCAAGGGAATTTTCTTTCAAGCTGACATCGGGTACGGACAGGAAAATCTTCAACAGACATCTTCCATGACAGTTCCAAGGAATAAGAAATGTCACTTCACGATCTCCAATCGTTCACACGAAATATCTGAAGGCGGTGAAGAATTACTAAATTCAGTGAAAATATTTAGATATGAACGACGAAAGTTGATGACGATGAGAAGAATTCAAGTACTCCTATAAGTTTCAGGCTGGCTAAGGAGATTAGTCTACCCATAATTTGAAAGCTTATCTTTCTTAGAAGTCACCTGATAAACAAAAGGAGTTAGATTTGCCAATTCTGAGAGGCTTAATAGTATCTTTTAAAAGTTGGTCACTAACTGCCATTTCAGGTGTCCGTTTTTAAACATAGCACTGCTGTAATACATGTCAGTCAGGAAATATCCGACCTCCACCATATTTCTGTGCATCCGAATTCATGACTTCTCCACTTTCACTGAGTTACTGGTGATCTGCATGACTAAATCTCCTGCTTTCGGCGATAAAACTCTTTTGAAAAGACATTTAAATTAATAGGTCCTAGAGGTAGGACTTTTCTAGCCAGAATAAATCACTAGGTTATTATGAAGTGGAAAGCGTAAAGTTAATTTAAGGCATCAGAGTTTCATATTCATAACTCAACAGGATGACATACTGTATATTACTCGTCCACGCTATTTATACCCCAAAACTTTCCCTAAAAATCAGTTAAAAGTTTTCATGCCATTGAATATAATTCACTTCTTCTGTCAATGTCTGATTAGCTCGTCTCAAGATGCTAAAAATGAAGTTATGTAGAAAGCATTATGAGGATACATACCAGGAAATACTGCTTTAGAAGAGTATGCAAATTTAATCCTATCGGTATCCGGCATGTTGGCATCTAAGTTTAATGCGTCACTCTAAAATAAAAAGGTTAAGATAAACGAACAGAAAAACTAAAATTGCGCTCAAAATTACTGATTTCCCACACCGAACAAAACAATGTACACTAGCGTTAATCACACCATGTAAAGCTTACATAATAGCATGCCGAATACTGACAGTGCAAATTTAAATTGGTCATTTATATGAAATATCACGTATTTATAACTACTTAACTATCGAGATGAAATAAAAGTCAACAAAAATGATGATTTCAACTATGAATCATATTTCTTATAGACTATACAAATTATCGCCTAATATAATAGTATCTGGATGAAAAAGCCAAGCATTTCAAGAATTTATTTCATATTGTAACTTGATAAAGTTTTAGGAATTCATTTTTGGTCACAGGATAACATCATCTGCTGAAAATAGTTATCAAAAACTGATCTCCATCATGCCGCTAAATCACTTCTGCATTTTCCAATTTCCAGGCAACGGTTAAATCCAAGGAAACACTTTGTTGTATATTAAAAGTTAGTCTGTCAACCACAGATGATTCTTAATAAACTAAGTTCACCTCCGACTACTATGGACGGAAACCAGTCAGTTGTGGTTATGAACTGTGGATCTTTATTATGCCAATTGCTAATGAACTCAGACAATGCTTTTCTCACAGATAACCTGTTATTCATCTACAAATGGAGCAGTCCTTGATTTTACCATTTTGTAACCACAGTTTGTGCTGTTGTTGAGAAGAAATAGAAAATCAAGCAATTATTCGCTACATTGTAATTTTTATGGCTTAGCATTTGTTGGTAACGCAAGCTAGTTTATCTGAAGTGTTTCAGTCACCGTGGGACATAAGGAAATTTTACAAAATAAACATCATCAGACTGTATTCGACTTGACTATTCTTAATTATTTCCCTCATAGAGGTATTATCATAAGCTGTATTGAAAAACACTTATTATTTCTCCAAGTAGCGATTAAAATAAGTTGAACTTCAACATAAACCTCTAACTTTAAACTAAGATTGTTAGCTTTGGAGCTTTATGACAGATGGTTTAGTCTTACAAAAAAGGCAGTTATATTAAAGTAGAAAAAATGACTTAATGATAGCCGTCAATATGATAAGTTCTTGATGACCTGGGAAATATTGATTACGATCTATGCCGTCTGATTAATGGAATATTAAAACTTACGCGTTTGGAGAGTAAGATCACTGCAGTCTAAAAACTGACACAATTCCAAGGCGGTGCTCATTAAAAACAGATATCGGTTATAAAACCTTTGAAAACGTGAGAGCAATGGGAAGTTACTTTATCCTAGCATGGAACTCGTCAGAAAAGTATATCCACGACAGTACCAGAAATCACTTCCAAGACCATCATGTCTCACGGTGAGCACGTTAACAACTCAGTTACTGTATATCGAATGGATTCACGACCGATTCGTATACTTGATAAAAGAGACAAAGATATGTCCTGCGTATCTTAGTAGCAACTTTTATTTGATATACTCATTTCGTTTTACAAGAAAACTCCAAGGTTTTAGGAGTGATACAATTAGCAAACACAAAGGTATGTTTTGTCTCTTCTTTTTTCTCTGTCTGACTTAAAGGCTAGGACATGTGAGTTAGGAGGAAAGGAAAGTACTCAGAACTAACGAAATCAAACACACATCACGTTATTCTTGAAGAAAGAACTGAACCATAATTTCGCAATTTATGTTGATTTTTATTGATACCAACTTTAATTACATTCTGGATAAAAGGCTAATTATAGAGTGTATGTAGACATCAAACTAACACCGCAAACTTTAAGTTCCCAAGAACATGTTTATCTAATAAAATTAGTTTCTTTACTTCGGTGTAAACTCCTACAGTATTGTGTCCGTATAGCTCCATGCTAGGCTTCTGATTTACTTATGTTTTTACCTGGTATACGTCAATTATATCTTGAGTCGTTGATTATACTTCCAGCATTCACTAATTAGAAATAAAAACATTAATTAACAGAACCCTTTGGTACTTAACAATCCTTATAACTAGATATCGTATTCGTAACTTTGGTCCCTTTCCAACGTTATGTTCG